GTGCCCACGATCACACAGTAATATAGTTAGGGTGTGAACTCAGACCAATCTGGTTTTAAGGTCTATGCACTTCATGACTTAGTTATGCTACTTCTAACATTCTTATACAACTGTGTAGAAAGAATAATCAACTGTAATATTTTAAATTTAAATATATTTAATTTGTTGAGACTGTAGCAAGGGTCAGATCTGAAATGTTATGAAAAGTTGCTGAGGACTTCTTCCAAGGATCAAAGAATGTGAAGGCAAATATAATTTCCTTGAGAGGAAAAAAAAAAAAAGTCCTCATACTTTTTAGTAAAAATGAAATAATACAGAAAATCAAGGGGAAATAAGACATGAGAACTCTTCTCAATGTATAATAATGATCAATATAGTCCAGCTACTGTGTATACATAATGCTAGAAACTTTTTGACAAATAAACACTGATCTAGAAATTATAAGGTGTTTAAGAGACAGTATAAAAACCACTAAGAATTTTGCTTACTTTCAGATAGAATGTAGGTCACAAATGATCGTTACAGCAATAAGAAAACAGAATAAAATGAAAATTATACTTTAAGCCATCAAAGAGCAGTAAGTACAAAAAGTCTAAATATAAATTCCAAGGATAAAACAGGTCTCTTTAGTGCTCAAAGAACTGTTGCTTTTATGGGACCAACTGCCTACTCTGGGTACGTGTGGGTGGAACAGCAGGTCTGTCAAAAATTTTGTTGGATAAGAAAAATACCACTGACACTTTTTTTAAATGTTTATTTTTGACAGAGAGAAAACACAAGTGGGGGAGGGGGAGAGAGAGAGGGAGACAGAGAATCCCAAGCAGGCTCCACACTGTCAACACAAAGCCCAGTGTGGGGCTCAAACCCGTAAACTGCCAAGATCATGGCCTGAACTGAAGTCCGATGCTCAACCGACTGAGCCATCTAAGCACCTCCCAACACTGACACTTTTCATGACACTACGTTTGATATACCAAATTGCAAATGTAAGAACTCCAAATGTGAAAATAAACTGTTGAGCCCTCAACAGGAATTCTGGGAAAAGACAAGAGAGCAGATCTGAAAAGCAGAAAAATGTCTTGATTTTGTTCAGGCCAAGAAAGAAGTCATCTCAGAAAAGAAAACTCCAGGGGAAAAAAAATCACTAAATTCTCTGTCTATATCTTTGGCTAAACTTTGTGTGAAAGACCAACTTAAGGTGCTCATTTGGAGAAAAAAGATAAACTGAATGTGGAACTGTTGCCCAAGAAACAGAGTTTGCAATTTACGTTTAACCATGTTAATTGTTTAAACAACAGAAATAACACTTACCAGAAAAAAACAGCAGAAGCTAGAGTCTCAACAACTTATCATTCATATTAATACAAATTCTGCAAGATACAAAATAAATGAAAATGGCACCCATTCCTTTAATAAAAGAAAACCAACCTTTAAAACCAGCCCTTCCAGATATGGAATTGGCAGACAAGATTTTTTTTTTAATTTTTCTAAGTTTATTTATTTATTTTTGAGAGAGAGAGAGTAGGGGAGGGAAAGAGGGAGAGAGAGAATCCCAAGCAGGCTCCACGCTGTCAACAGAGAGCCAGACACGGGGCTTGAACTCACAAACCATGAGATCATGACCTGAGCCAAAACCAAGAGTTGGACGCTTAATGACTGAGCCACCCAGGTGCCCCAGACAGGATTTTAAAGTAGCTATTACAACCACTCTCACTGATGTAAAGGCACATATGCCCTCAATGAAAAAAAAAAAAAAAAAAAAAGGAAATCTGAGAAAAATAGAATTAAAAAAAAAAGAACCAAAAGGAAACTATAGAACCAATAAAATAATAAATTATAATCAATCACAAGATTGATTTAACAAAACATAGATAAAAATAAGAGTTCGAAAGCCTGAAGATAAATCAATTGAAATTATCCAAACTGAATAACAGAGAAAAAAAACACCACTGAAAACAATGAGCAAAGCCTCAGAAACAGGTTAAAATAATACCGAATTATGTTAACGCATGTGTTACACAATATAGACCCAAGGAGGAAAAATGAATGGGGAGGAAAATATATTTGAAGAAATAGTGACCAAAAATTTCACAAACTTGGTGAATGACATGAATTTCAATATTCAATATGCCTAGTAACTCCCAAGATGGATAATAATAAACAAGGCCATATCTAGGCACACTGTAGTTAAACTGCTGGAAGCCAAGATAAAAAGTAAACATGAAAGAAGAAAAAAAAGGGGTAAATTACATGCAAGAGAATAAAGATGCAATTATTAAATAACTTTTTATCAGAAATTACAAAGCTTAGAAGAGAACAAAAAAACCATCTTGAGAGGGCTGAAAGAATAAAAATGTCAACCAAGTATTTTATATATCTTAAAAAAATATAAGACCACTTTCATTATTTTGTAAAATGTTTCTTCTTTTAATTTCCTTATAATATATATGGACTGTTTTAGCAAAATCTATTAACACTGTCTTCTGGGATTTATAACATGTGCCGGTATAATGCATTTAACAGCTGTAGCAAAGAGTGGTGAGAAGAATAAAACTTACAGTTACACCATTTCTACATATTATACAAATTGGAACAATGTTAACTATAAGAAAACTTTCAAAAGCTAAGGAAATACACTGCAATCACTAGAGCAACCTCTAAAAAATTCAGAGACATGCTAAAAAAAGCTAACAGAAAAACTTAAATTGATTTCTAAAAAATACTGAAATATCCAAAACAGAAAGAATAGACACAATAGTAAAGAGGGGATAAACAAATAATAAAATGATAGATCTGAAACCAATCCTATCCATAATTACATTAGATGTAAATGACCTAAACATTCTAATTAAAATGTAGGTATTGCCAGAATGGAAAAAGAAAAAGCAAAATTTGCTATATTCTATCTGCAAGAGACACACTTAAAATTTAAAGACAGATTTAGGTTGAAGGATATACCATGAGAACAGCGTTTCATTTTTTAAATCCTGAAGGGGTTATATTAATATTAGAGAATGGGTTTCAAACCCAATGAGTGTTATCGGCAAAAAGACCATTATTAATAATGATAGAAGGATCAATTCATCAGGAAAATAAAAGTCATATATGTATGTGCACCTTAAACCATCATCAAAACTCAGTAAGCAAAAGCTAACAGTTAAAAGGAAAAATAGGCAATTCTATAATCATACTTAAGAATTTTTTTTTCCAATATATGAAATTTATTGTCAAATTGGTTCCCATACAACACCCAGTGCTCATCCCAAAAGGTGCCCTCCTCAATACCCATCACCCACCCTCCCCTCCCTCCCACCCCATACTTAAGAATTTTAATGACTATTGGTAACTGATACAACTATATAAAAATCAATATGGGGCACCCAGTTGGCTCAGTCAGTGGAGCATGTGACTCCTGATCTCAGTTTAGCAGGTTTGAGCCCCATGTTGCAGGTAGAGATTAAACATAAAATCTTTACGAAAAATCAATGTAGCCAATATAGAATCTGAAAATTATCAATGGTTTTGAGCTAATAGATAGCTATAAAATATTCTACCTAACAACTACAGAATATAAACTCTTTTCAAGTTCATGTAGCATATTCACCAGAATAGACCATAAAGCTGGGCCACAAAGCAAGACTCAACAAATTTAAAAAGATTGAAATTTTAGAGTGTGCTCTCTGAAAAAAGAGATTTAATTACATGTCAATAGCAAATATTGACAAATTACCAAATATATAGGTAATAGATATTAAACAACACTAAAACAATACTACTAAATAATCCATGGATTGAAAAGTAATCTCAAGGCATTAGAATACATTTTAACTGCATAATAATAAATACAAAATATTTCAAAATGTGTTCATGCTGCTATAGAGGGCTTAGGAGAAAATAGATAGCTTTAAATGATTTAAAAAAAATGAGAATCAATGACCTAAATTTCTATCTTAAATAATAGAAATGAAAAAAAGGAACTAGAAAAGAGAAAATCAAAGTTCAAAAAAATTGTAAAGCAGAAAAAGAGAAGTTAGAGCATAAATCAATGAAATGCAGAATAAATCAATAAAAACCAAAAGGTGTTTGAGAATAAAATTTCAGCCAGACTGCTCAAGAAGAAAAATGACATAAGTTACCAATATCAGAAACCAATGAGGTGACAAACTACAAATAATAAAAGGAAATATTGGCATAATAACATAAGGAATTCCATGGAATATCTCCCTAGACAAACTGGAGAAAATTATTTTTAAACAAACACCATTTAAAGACTCTGTAAATGGTCCCCAAAGCATACAGTAAATGAAGAAGCATTTTTTAAAAGTCCACTAAAACTCAGTAAGAACATCAAGTGTCTGGGATTTGAGCCAAGACTCACTGCCTCCTTCCCTCCTCTAACTCAGCAAGATGGAAACGCCAATCTAGACTGTGGCAGCCAAGGAAGCAAAACCATACTACCTAAGTTGGAGAAATATCTTCCCAGGAGCAGGATGTTAGCATTTCCCATCCAGCCCCCGATTACCATGCTGCTGAAACCAAGTTCTGGATGAGTGTACCCAAGACACAGGAGTTACCTTTTTTGGAGTAGCACCCACTCATAAGTTGTAGGCTATATCTTGGGTCCAGTGCCACTAATACTACTACACTTTTTTTTTTAACACTAACCCTAATGCTAACCCAAATACTATGCTCTTTTTATTATTATCTTAAAATTCCTCACTTCCAATGTGACAGGAAAGCTGTAACATTTCCTCTGCAAAGTGCAATTTGTGAGGAAGTCTTATGAACATGTCTTAATGGAATGTTTTCTCTAGGAGGATGGAATACAATTTGACTTTAGAACCTTATGAGCCTTCAAAGTTATCTGAAATAGCAAGAACTTCCAGGAAAGTTATTTTCACTTAATTAGCATTAAATATGATACCAAGTTAATTTCTACTGTCTCAGGAGAAAACCCAGAAGTTGTATGACCATAATATTAAATGCAATTCCAAAGAATATTCCAGCCTATAAGCAATATATTTATTAAGAATACATAAAAACTTCTGATAACCAGTTAAGGACCCTTGAAAAGAACCTACAGAAAATTTGGCAAATTTGGTATTTTCCACCAGGGCAATCTCTGAACTGAAAAGAGAAATCACAAGGAATGACAGAGGTACAAACTTGTTTTTTCTAGAATTTAATATTTTAAAAAAGAAAAATATAAAAGTTATCAAAAAAATCTTAAAGGGTTCATTTTAAGGCTAAATACTAGCACTGAAAGTTTTTTTCTTATAATTGATTTAAGGTAAAAAGTAAAAATTATGTAAAAAACATAGCAGCTACAGCTGTTCCAACATAAAGCCCACCTGCAAAAAGGCAGGACAAAATGAGCTGACTGAGCAAATACCCACATCATGACCTCAGTAACAGGTTTCAAATGGTTTCAGTTCTCAAGGTGTAAAAGAAGGATCATCTTGCATGCTTAGACTCTACTTCTTCAAGAATCCACTGAATGCCATTCAAAAAACCAGTTAGAGTTTCAGCCTCTGTATCCTGGACCTATGAGCAGATAAGAGAGATCACTGTAAGAAACTGAGTCCAAAATCTTATGATTAAAAGAAACATTTTTCTAGATACTAACAAAAGAATACAGTTTAAAAAATCCCAATAAACTTTGGGTGAGTCATTCAAATTTTGTCTTCTATGTAACTTAGATAAAAAAAATATGATCTTCTCTTATGTCTATAATTTATTACCAATATAAGGCTTATTACGTATCTTAGAACTCAGCTTTGGGAATGGGAAGAACTATCATTTCAATGATTTGTTTGTATCAGAAAAAAAAAAAATTCTCCAAAATATCCACTTTGAAAACTAAAACATTTTTGAAAGAATCCAGCTACTCAGATGATAAATGTGATATCCAGTTGCAAAAACGTGTCTTTGAGATTGCTACTCTTCTTGGGGCGCCTGGGTGGCTCAGTCGGTTAAGCGTCAGACTTCGGCTCAGGTCATGATCTCGCGGTTCGTGAGTTCAAGCCCCGCATCGTGCTCTGTGCTGACAGCTCAGAACCTGGAGCCTGTTTCAGATTCTGTGTCTCCCTCTCTCTCTCTGACCCTCTCCCCGTTCATGCTCTGTCTCTCTATGTCTCAAAAATAAATAAACGTTAAAAAAAATTTTTTTTTAAAGACTGCCACTCTTCTTAATGGTAAACTAAAACTCCCACCACCCAGGAAGGGACGCCTTTATCAGTTGTTTTCGAACTGTGTTCCAAAGAGTCTTCAGGGCTCCGTGGAAGGTGTAGGGGGAGGAAGGAAGAAAATCCTGTAACTTTTTAAGCATAAGTATTTCCAATTTTAATTTTTCTTTATTTTACCTAGGAGCTTTCATGTAAGGTTTCATTGAAGAAAGTGTTCCATGAGTAAAATAAAATTTGGAAAGCAAGAAATAGTAAGATAGAACTTGTATTTTTGATGACTGTTAGAGCATATTACATTCATGTTTAAAAAAAAATGACACCAACGTCAAAAAAAAAATGGCCAACTGATTTACTGTATCTATGGTAGGAAAGGCAAGTAGAGAACAAATTGATCAGGTGAAACAGTGATACCAACTGACTATCTCCCACTGATTAAGCTATTAAAACTAACTTTAGAATGTGATTTCATTAAAGAGAATGAGTAGGAAAGAATAAAATCAAATAGAGAATAGTGAAAAATAAAAATAAGATTTTTCTCACCAGAGAAAGTAAGACCTTACCATCCATGGGTGGTTCAGAAGATTTAGACGCAGCTCATGAGCCAAATAAAAACAAGGCATTCTTTTTACATCTGCTTGAGAAATACAAGATAAAACCAGCATAGGTCTTCCTGAAGATCCAAAAGCTGGATCTGTCATTGCCATAATACGAGAAAATTCATCTTGCCATTCATGTCCTAGAGAATGTAGTCAAACCCTTAATTTGCATTACTTATAGTGATTTTTAAAATAAACAAAACAAGGAAATAAAAAAAAAAAATTACCAGGATCCAAACATAATAAAGTGCCTATATTGCTGTTTATTTACAGCTGTTCATTTATGATCTATCATAAAATTACATTAAGTAGTCTTCAAGGATAGGAATTTTGGTAATATTAAGGGCAAAAATAGTCACAGTACCATTCAGATGTCTTTACAGTTTGAAAATAAAAATACTTTGATATAGATATTTTCCTCTCACAAATTTTGTAGCTAAAACTACCCTTTCTTTCAAAGGCCTTAGTTTAAACAATTTAAACATATATTTGAATCCAGCTCTTTATTAAAACTAGCAATCTTTGGGGCGCCTGGTGGCGCAGTCGGTTAAGCGTCCGACTTCAGCCAGGTCACGATCTCGCAGTCTGTGAGTTCGAGCCCCGCGTCAGGCTCTGAGCTGATGGCTCAGAGCCTGGAGCCTGTTTCCGATTCTGTGTCTCCCTCTCTCTCTGCCCCTCCCCCGTTCATGCTCTGTCTCTCTCTGTCCCAAAAATAAATAAACGTTAAAAAAAAAAAAAAAAAACTAGCAATCTTTGCCTTTCTTTGGAGTGTATAAATCATTGACATTGTGAGGTAGTCAAAATTCTAAAAGGTCTCCCAATGATTCACACCATTGTACACATTCATGTATAATCTCTTATCCTTTAAGTGTGGGAGGAATCTAGAATCAGTGATGGGATATCACTGCCCTGAGCAGACTACATGATAAGACAAATATGACTTCAAGAATGAGAGATTATCCTCAGTGAAGCTGACCTAAGAGAAGAGATGAAGTTGTCTTGGTGAGAAAGATTCTGTTTTGGCTGGATCTGAAGACAAGAGGGAGTCACAAGGCAAGAAATGAAGATCGCTTCTAAAAGCTGATTCAGCCCCAGCGGACAGTCAGTAAGAAAACAGCTCAGTCCTACAACAGTAAGGAACGGAATTCAGCCAGTAATTTCAGTGAGTTAGGAAGCAGATTTTTTCCCCAGAGCCACCAGAAAGTGATGCAACCCATCTCACCCTGATTTCAGCCTGTAAAACCCTAAGCTGAGAACCCAACCATGCTGTGCAAACTTCTGATATAGAGAGCTATAGGCTAATAAACAGGTGTTGTTTTAAGCCACTAGGTTGGAGAGAATTTGTTATATATTAATAGAAAATGAATGAACATTATAATGTGATTATCAACAGGGTCCATTTAAATCTATCATAGATCTCTTAGATTTTTTTACTTGTCCCATCTGTTCTTTGTTCCTTTATCCTACCTTCTTTGGACTGTGTTTTATAATGATTCCATTTTACCTTAACTACCAACTTATTTAATTGTACCTCTCTCACACATTTTTTAGTGGTTGCTCAAGGATTTACAATGTATATTTTTAACTTATAACAGTCTACTTAGTATTATACAACTTTACATATAGGAGAACCTTGTACCGGTGAATTTCCATTTGTTCTCTTCCATGCTGTTTGTATTATTATATATCTTAAAAATATCATATAGCCACAATACATTATTTTTTTTATTTTTTAATGTTTTTTTTTTTAATTTTTGAGAGAGAGAAAGACAGCATGCAAGCAGAGGAGGGGCAGAGAGAAAGGGAGACACAGAATCCAAAGCAGGCTCCAGGCTCTGAGCTGTCAGCACAGAGCCCGACGTGGGGCTCGAACTCACGAGTCATGAGATCATGACCTGAGCCGAATTC